TCAGACACTGTCGTTTTTAAAGAATTTACTCTAACCTAGTACCAAGGAGGAACACTCATAGGCTCTGAAGGTCTGTACTTCCTCACACTCATGTTTGTCAATCAGAAGTAATAATGAGTTTTGTCTAGGCATAGTGTTTTTTCATAATCATAGCTATGAAACAATAGGAGGTCTGTGTGTCATTATGATCAGCAGTCATTATACAGCAAACAACCAATGGATTGTGGGAGCAGAGAGGTTTGGGTATAAGGGGCTTCACATGGGAGATGTATCTTATCATTTAGGGCAGCTCTACTACCTCATCTACTCACTATTATTGAAGGAGCCAAGTGCACGCAAATCTGTAAATCGTGTCTTCTGTACTGCTGCATTATCAAGGCTAACAGAGCAGATCAGTACTCGGTGAGAGAGCCAACTGGTACATGTACCATTTAACAATACCAGCTACTGCTCCTGTATTTTGGTGTGTTTCTGTCTATGTGGACTAAATACCCTCCTAAGGAAATAACTAAGGTTTACAGGTATTGGAACCCAAAAGCACAACTCTGAGACAGAAATACAATCAAAGTTATTTACTAATTCAGTAAGGGTCAAAACTGGGAAATAAGTCCAACAGGCAAACAAATCCAGAGGAGCAGGTAGGGAATCCGTAAACGAGAATAGGCGAGGTTCAGAACCAGGATGCCAATCAGACAGGTGAACAAATCCAAAAAGGGGCAGGCGGAGAGTTTGTGGTCAAAAAGGCCGGCTAAGTCAGAACGGGATATCAGGTTAATCGGGAAACACTTGAAAACTTGGCATACACACAAGACAATCTGGCAGAGGGCAAGTGTGGGGACCTAAATAGTGAGGGACTAATGAGGGGATGGGCCGCAGGTGGGACGGGCATGAGGACCAGGTGAAGAGAATGAGATGATTTCTTGTTGATGACAGGGTCTGCAATGACAGTAGAGTTAATTGACAAGCAGGCAGGTGGGAGAAAAACTAACAAGACGGAGAATTCGTGAAAATAACAGATACAGTACAGTGTCTCATTAATGTGTTATTTCATGTTTTTAATCTTCTAATCAAAATGAAGATAATTAAGCTAAAAAACTATCATTGTGAAGTCTTCAGATTTGTCAAATGAAACATTCAATGCATTTAGTTTGTTTGTGTGTGAGAGTGTGTAGCCCTGTGCGCCACCATTGTAGGCCAACTTATCATTCTTTTTGTGATTGTCAGCCCATCGCTGTAGCCAAATTGAATCAATTAAAATCTTTCTAGTAGATGTTTGCTGTTCCACGCGATGAGGAACACAAATAAATAACTAAGCCAAGTGAAGGGAATAGAAAGAGAAATGAACTTAATTATACAATCTGGCGTGCAACGTGCCTGAAAGCTGCTGCCAGTCCGATTTGTTTGACTGGGTGTGTATGTGTGCCGATGCATATGTTATATTTCTTTATGAAGAGGTCTACACAAACCATATTGAATAGTGCATGTTTATATTTGTGGAGCACCTAGGAGTGCGTTTGTAGGGTGGGACAAAAAACTGTAACCTAATGACTAGATACAGTACATTTGATTCTGTATAACTGTGTGTGTGCGTCTACATTAAAAAAATCCAGTTTATATTTATTCTTAACATTATAATGTCTCCTCCATTATCTTAACAAGAAGGTTTATTTGTATCTTTTTAGCTTCAGATTCTGAATATGACCTACACAAAACTGGTATTGATAAAAAATTGAATATAATATATTTACCTTGCTTTCATTCAAACAGCCCGTTCTGATGGGGAGGTAAAAGCATCGTTTCACCCTATTCAAAGAATACAGACCCCATCGACAAAAAAGTTTCATCTCATAGAATGCAAACTTAGCTTCTCTTATTTTCAAACTCAGCACAGCTGATGATGGCTGAGTGCTAGCGTTCATATTATTCCATATTGTATTGATAGCATATGTCCCTGCTTTCTGCCAACTGTTAGGAGTGTGTGGCTGAGTGGGAGCTCCCATTTAAATACACAGGATGATGGCTCACCATACAGGTTTCTTCACAGACTAGTGGTGACATCATGCCTCTCTGCAGCCCATTACAGGAGCATGTCTTCCCCCTGAGGCTCTTCTCCTGTCTCGCCACGTATGTGGCCTGAATGCATCCCTGTGGAAATGAACTGTAGTGTTGACTGACACTGGCTTATGAACTCTCCACTTAGTGGGCCGACTGTGAGAGTAAGAACATGCAGTCGGCGGGTGAGGGAATATGTGAGGCGGAAGGTTTGTGAGTGGGGTTGGTGGCTGGGTGTGGAGGACTCCCTGTATGCCTGTAGCAGGTAATGGAGCTGTTAACATGGAAATCAGAGGGATGGGTAGGGGGCAGTGGAGGCAGTGGTGGACATGAAATTGCTCTAAAAGAGCAGAGCTCTCCTTTGGGTACATTTGAAGAGCCTTGTCTCGTTGGACATGCACATCTTGCTGGCCCTGGATCTGAGCGGGGGGATCTGAGAGGTTTTACTGGACAGGGGAAATAGATGGAGGTGTTGATGGAGTAAGACTGATGCTGGGATGGAGAGGAAGGACTTTCATATATAGTTACGTTATATGTTATATGTAATTCATGCTAATGTTTTAAATCAGCCCAGATAAAGCATGTTTTATTATTTGTAATACGTGCTGCATTACGTTGCTGTTTATGGTAGTTTAAGGATTATTGATAGTATTTTGGACACATCTGGGCACACAATACGGCTAAAAAGTGTGTTAGGTTGTTAAGGCTCCAAGAATAACATTTATTTGAAAGAGAAAAATTAGGTCAATGCCAAAATAATTATACTGTAAACATCCGTTCAACTCTGATCTTACTGACATTTTCAATATACTGTATTAATTTGTGTTCTTTAAACCCGTTTGATAGTCTGACTGCACACAAGTGTATTTTTGTATGAACTAAAAGAGTTTCTATTTGACTAGGGTCACAAAATTCTAGAATTTTTTTTTGTCGGAAACTTTTCATGTGAATTAACAGGAATTAACTGAACTGTAAATATTTGGTTAGTTTTATGTCATATATGACCAAAGCATAAGCAGACATGCATGCAAACATTTCGAATACACATTTTAATATTTAATTAATCCATATGTGAGTTGAACATTTGATAATTTTTTCTGTGGAACAACAAAATCATTAACGCTGAAAAAACGTTGCTAAAACCTATGATCACCCCCCCACACACACACAAAAAGCTTCATTTTCTGATGTGCGCTCTTTGTCCTGCTGGTGGGAGCATGTGCATGCACGTGTCCGCATGTATCAGCAGAGACTTTCTTGGGGTGGCGGTTTGCTCCCCCCTATTGAATGGTAGGGGAAACACTAGAGGTGGTGGTGTACTGTAATGTGGGAATACATACATCCTACTCACACTGCTGTAAAAAAGTTAGCCTACTGTATACACATGAACTTATTGTTTATTGTAAGCTATTATTTCACTAGTGTTCAGGTGTAGATGATTTTATTGTGAATGAGAGGAAGGAGAAAAAGGAGTTTGGAGTGAGAATAAAGTTGCTGTCACCTTGGCGCAGGAACGGACCACCGTGGTTATTGTTTTATTACTAACATGATGTACAGGCGTACCATATACCCCGAATACATGAAAATGCGCTTCATATACAAGGTAATGAGAAAAACGTTCCAAAACAACACGTTTTATGTTAACGTCAATATTCCCAGTTATCTGCATCCAGGGTCCAGCTGAGCTAGGCTTGTTCTCAATTACATTTAAGTTCCTTATTATATGCTTTTGCAAAAAGCTTTCGCAAAAACATTTCCCCAAATTCCTAAGCTAATCCTACATGGAAAGTTTCTGAAAATTTACCTGAAACTTTCTGCCCTTTCGCAACCATATTTGTAAGTAAGTTATAATTTAGGCAGGATCATAGTTTTATATACACGCATGTGTCTCTCCAAAAGGAGCCCCTCTGCAATACAGTTAGTGTATTGCTATTTATTGAAGTAATTACCAAACAGCGAGGCTTGTTTGTTTTCCCTTGTACAAAAGAAGATATTGGCAGCTTGAAAAGAACATTTTTGAAATTAGTAAATAAAATGTATAGTTTAGTAGTGCAGTCTCAGATGGTGTGCATGTTTTTTCATTTTTTGAGGGATAACTCACTGATACATACTATGAATATATTATTTTCCTCCAAATGACAAAAAGTTCCCAGTCTCATTCCCAGCTGTCCCTACTCTTTAAACTAAGGCTCTCATGGTTCCCCTCTATTGTGAGTTTTGGACCTTTGAACGGCCCTGTTTCTGAAATCGGTGAGTTTTTAGCTAACATAAATCTATTGATTAAAATGATGACGTAATGATTTTAACTGATTTAGTGGAATTAAACTAAACTCCTCACCTTTCGAGGTAAATACTGTTTTAATTATAAAAGTTAGGATGGTCTTAACTAGAGTGGATAAGAGGACGCTTACGCCGGTGAATTGTCCCAACCTCCATTGTTTTTTGGGAAATAACATTGAGCCTTAACTAATGAGTCATGTTGTTAATCGATTGACATTGGAGTTAGTTGAAAGAAATAGAGAAACTAAAAAGTGTCTGAATGGGTTGGAGTTAAATGCTGAGGGACACTAACCAACGGTCAGCTTTGATTAGTTAGCAGCGAGAACACGTTTTCATATCCGTTTGACCTCTCTCATCCAACAATATTGACCTCATGGTGACAATATAGAAATAAAATGAATAACTTCTAATAATTAAATAGCTGAATAGTTAGCGAACCTCCTCTGATACTACTGAACACCATAGTAATAGCATTACATAGAGAAAACTAATTTATGTCTAATTAATATTCATCAACTCCCTTCTCTGTCCTGTCCTACTTTTGCTCTTTTTTTCACAAACATTAAATTGTAAAAACATTTTAATTTCGAATGAACCCCTCTGGTTAGGACATTAATATCAATAAAAAGAAGGATGCAACTGACATCTCTGCTCTCCATCTTGTGCAGGATTCCTGAGTACAGGGGACCAGGCTGCCAAAGGGAATTATGGCTTGTTGGACTTGATCCAGGCTCTGCGTTGGACCAGTGAGAACATTGCCGCCTTTGGTGGGGACCCGTTGCGTATCACTGTGTTTGGCTCTGGTGCTGGGGCTTCCTGTGTCAACCTGCTTACACTGTCTCACTACTCTGAAGGCAACCGGTGGAGCAACTCAACCAAAGGTAAAAATGAGTCACCACGTAGTTCACTTGGAACCTTCATGAATATTTTAAGTTTGCATACATTTCCATGTGTGTGTGTGCGGCAGTATTGTCCAACTCATGTGTCCTTGGTGCAAAGGAAACCCAACATTTTAGCTTTGCTGATGATTTTTACATGATTTGTTTGTTTTAGCTATACATGTGTTAACTCCTGAACCCCAAGCAGTTTTGGGGCGCCCTTTTGCCTCTGTCACATCACTGCAAAATATCTAATCAGAGCTAGATGTAAAATATATTACATGCAATATAAGTGCAGTATAAAAGTTTCGTGGCCATAAATCATGACAAAAATAACAAAATTCTAAGGATAAAGTTCAATGGAATCTTAACATCAAACATTTTTCCAGTGTTACAATATTGAGAAGAAAGTGACGGCTTAGAGTGCTCTACCCATTTTTATAGCTTCTCATCTCTGCTCTGTCTTCAGCGGCTTGCAGTTGAGACATGTAGACTTTTAAGATGTTTTTAAGGTAATACCACAAATTTTTGTTTTGGTCGCATTTCCAGAAAGTTTCATCCAACAAATTCTTCAAGGACTGGCACCTGTAGATGATAAATGCTGTGGTTTCTGCAGTTTAAAATCCCGGCAGAAATTGTTAGCGTTGCCCACCCTGAATACGGCAATATCCTTAACATTTCTCCCAGACAAACCTTCCCAAAGTTATGGGAAAACAAACACCAAGCACACAAATCATATCAATCCTAAACGAGTTCAGTGTCAAGCATCATTTTATACTAGCATTTGGATTCTGAGTGGCTATGGGAGCTGGTGCTCTTCTCCACGTAGGTCAGGGGTGGCCATCTTTCAGAATAAAATAGTTTGTCACATGTACAGGTACATAACAGCAACATAATCAATTCTTATTGAAAAGATTCGTAAATGAAGTGCTTTAAGTACAAGTGCATTAGTGTTTTTATGCACCTGCGTTTTTACTGTTAGTGACGGATGTTACCGTGCAAAACATAACATTTCAGATTGATTAAGGAACAGATAACTTGGTAACACTTATCAGAAGGATGGTACTGAGATCTTGATTTCAGTAAGGACATGTCAAGGTGTGGGTTCATGTCCTGTTTAATGTTGTAGTTTCAGCCTCTTATGTCCCTGGGTTAACTTCACTTCCTGCCCTGCTGTGTTTTGCCTAGTGATTGTGATTGTCTGACATGTCCCCAATTGTACACAGCAGGAAACAATCACCTGCACCTCCCCAGTGTAGTTAAACCAGGTGTGTCCCTTGTTGGTTCTTTATTATTGTTGGTGAGTCTTTTTACATGTCCCTGCGGTTTATACTGTAGGAATAAAGGGGTAGGGGTAGGGTTAGGGTTAGCGCTATTGTTTTTGGAAAAGTGACAGGTTTGAGCCCTGATTCCCAGCTGACAAACCTGGCAGAGGCTTGATGTGAGCATATAGCGGGCTCACCTCTCCTTGAAGATTATCATTCAGCGCATTCAAATGCTTTGATATGTCAACCAAAAAAAGCCTGATTTGGCAGCCGTACAGGATTAGACGTTTTTTCAATTGGTTGTCCCTACTCACCCCCCCAAAAAATGTCCAATTTCCACTTTGAGAGAGGAAAATCGCTGCAGTGTGGACCCCCGACTTAGCCACCTGCAATAGCCACCATTGTTGTGATATATTACGTCACCATATTCAGCCTGTATGTTGCGCAACAACTGCTGAAATTGTCTGTGAATAGAATATGTTGCCTTTTTCACTGGTTTCATAACATCATCACATTTGAGATGTTTGGTGCAGAGAGCCTGCAGGTGAATGATACAGTGAAGTTTAATAGCGTCACCTGCGTGAAGAAGCTGTTGCGATGCCAGAGCAGCTTGGAGTTGCTTCACTTTTTCAGCGCGATCACTCCCGGTTAGCTTGTCGTGTGTTGTAGCACGTTTAGTCTCGTAGTGTCTCTTTACGTTGAAATGCTTTTGCTCAGGTAAACGGGGAATGCAGGTGGTCCAGCCCAAAGGGGGGATCGGTTGTTTATGTTCATATTGACAATTTGTGGCTTTAGAGGGACGCCTGGAGGGACGCCTGAAGGGACGAGCTGTCAGTGTTGCCGACTTGCTTTCTTAATAGCAACTGCAGGAGCTGGTTTCTCAAAAGGACCCACTCTTTCTTTAACTATCTACAACACAGAACTGTCATAACGATTCAAAGAGTATTTTCACCTGGAGAAACAAACAATACTACCTAAAGCGAAACACTGCTAAAACGAACCTGTTATAAGCATGCTTAGTGTGAATGCACCATGTCTACTAACAGGCAATTGGAGAAATTCCAATACAAATTCTCTGTAATGTTCTAAATTATTAATTATTATTAATGTTATTGTTAATTAATAAAATTAATCTGAGAATCTGGTATAACAATAAGTAAAAGGGAAACTATTTGTAATTGCTCTGTTACAGAGCACTGGGTGATGCTCATCAATGAAATTAAACTCCTCAAATCATAGGGTGGTTTTTATGTAATAACAAAGATGACAGACTAACAACATGTTGCTTTGTTTCCTGCTCCTCTGTTTTTCTCTCCAGGGTTGTTCCAGAGGGCCATCGCCCAGAGCGGAACAGCTCTGTCTAGCTGGGCGGTCAGTTTTCAGCCAGCCAAGTATGCCCGGATCCTGGCCCGTAAGGTGGGCTGTAACTTAGAGGACACTGTGGAGTTAGTTGGGTGCCTTCAGAGGAAACATTACAAGGAGCTGGTCGACCAAGACATCCAGCCAGCCCGCTACCACATTGCCTTTGGACCGGTTATTGATGGAGATGTTATACCTGATGACCCTCAGATACTCATGGAGCAAGGTAGCAATTTAAATACTTAAAGACAGCGATTTCTAACAATGTTTTTACCTTATATTACTTATGTACTTATAACAAACACTGTGTAACATCTTTTTAAAGGAGAGTTCCTCAACTACGATATCATGATGGGAGTTAATCAGGGCGAAGGCCTTAAATTTGTGGAGCTTATTGTGGACAACGAAAACGGCGTTCAGGCAAACGACTTTGATTACGCCGTGTCAAGCTTTGTGGATGACCTGTATGGCTACCCAGAGGGGAAAGACATTCTCCGCGAGACCATAAAGTTCATGTACACGGACTGGGCCGACAGGCACAACCCAGAGACTCGACGGAAAACATTGCTGGCCCTTTTCACCGATCACCAGTGGGTAGCACCGGCTGTCGCCACAGCTGACCTGCACTCCAGCTTTGGCTCTCCAACCTACTTCTATGCCTTTTACCACCACTGTCAGACAGAACAGGTGGGTCTCTGGCTGTCTGGGTAATGTTACATCTACTTTATGGATTGTCAATAATATGAAACGGTTTCAAGAAACTGCTGGCTTCTTCCTAATTTCATTGGAGAAAACCTTCAGTTACTGCTAACAGAGAACAGCATTATAATCCATAATCTAAGATAAAACAGATATTATGAAAAATAAGATGAATGTAATATTTATAATTGCAGCATTATATAAATCAGTGACTCATACTGTGTACATTGTGTAGCGGTAGCACCCATCCTGTTTCCCCACCAGTTACCACTGTTTCTATTGTTTGAACTCACATCTCTCAATTGTAGAGAGTCTTCTGATTTGGGATTCAGCAACTTTAAATTGAACTGATTAAAGTCGTTTTGTACAGCCCCCTGCTATTCCTGTCCAGCTAACACGGACAGTTTGGGTTTACCTGCTCAGATTATGCACTGATCTCTGATTATGAGGAAACTGATTTCATCCTGTTTTTTCTCAGTGACACTGAGGTTAGAATATAGTCACTTCCGGTGGTTATGTCTGTACCTCAGTTTCCACTATGTTGAGCAGCATCCCTTTGCGTCTTACTATTGGTATTGTATAGAATTGCACCACTTTTAAGATTTTCCTAAACTTTTTAGTTTACACATTTACTATAATGTAAATAGGTACTTAATGCCACAGAGCATTCATTTTACCATTTGAAGTGGGCTTCACACATTTCTACTCCTAGTTTTATTTTGAATATTCTTATTTCAACAAGCCACAGTGCACAACATTAAATTATATTTTCTAATTCATCCACCCTTTTCTATTAGGGCCATTCCTTCTTTCTCTCTGCTCTCTCACGAATATGCTGTATATGGAATAATAAGCGTAATTTCCCAGTTAGTTAATCTTTCCATGTCTATGGTCTATGGTATACCCAATATGTGAATAAATAATGCCTTTCAGTGTCTTGTACATGTTTTAGGGATGTTAACATTAACACATTAATCTATGTAAATTTTGTGGCCGAGATTAATGCGATCAAATATTTTAACGTAACTTTGTTTACTTTCGGCACACCAGAAAACCGAAAGTAAAGTTCACCCTGGAAACGAAACCGCCGCTGGCTGCAGTCAGTTAGATCGAGGAAAGCAAGACGGTAGCTGAAGATGGAGAGAGCGTTATACATTGGAAGTAAAACAGAGGCACGACATACAGAGAACTGTGCAGAGGAATGCTACCATAGAATAGAAGTAGGGTGAGTGGCAAATGGACCACTTAAAGATGAGCACGCTGCTAGGCTAAGCTAGCTGCTAGGCTACTTCCATCTCAACATCTACCCTGCGCAGAAAACATCCTTAGTAGATATGGGGAGATTGTTGGAACTTCAAACACAGCCATCAAATGATCGAGCGTTGATAGAACAGCAAACATGCACGAGTACACCAGGAAGAGTCTAAATCTGTCTATTCACTGTCCTAATATGTATGTAATAATACTTCTGATGTGATTCCTCTATTTCTCATAAGGTCCCACAGTGGGCAGACGCAGCACATGGAGATGAGATCCCGTATGTGTTTGGGCTGCCGATGATTGGTCCAACAGAGCTGTTTCCCTGCAACTTCTCCAAGAACGACGTGATGCTCAGCGCTGTGGTCATGACTTACTGGACAAACTTTGCCAAAACGGGGTATGAGGAACCTAGAAACGTGACTCCTGAGGGCCAATACAACTCACTTTCTGTCTATTGTGTGTTATCCTGTATATACACACATATATATATATATACACACATATACATATACATACACACATATATATATACACACACGCACATATATACATACACACATATATACACACACACATATATATTTATGTGTGTGTGTATATATATATATATATATATATACACACACACACACACACACACACACACACACATATAGGGCTGGGCTACACTTTCTACAGGATGCGTGCTAAGGTCATTTAAAAGGAGAAACTGTTTACTTTACCTTTTGCAATGTGTAGGGGAAACTATGCTTGTAAACCGCTTTATACAAGTATAATATATATGTGCAATGCTCAAGCTTTGAGGCTTTCTTTCAATCATAGGCCGTTTCCTCCTCTGAATACGGTTCGATTCCCGGATTTGCAAGTCTGCGTGTCCTTGGCACTTAAGACACTTAATAGTTCACATAGCTCCAGTGGCTTCCTTATGGGCAGGTGGCACTTTGAATGATTGCTCCTGTCATCACTGTATGAATGGGTGAATGATGACATGTAGTTGAAGTACTTTTAGTGGTTCAAAGACTTTAAGTACAGTCCATTTACCATAACAGAAATGTCAGTGGGACAGTAACATCAGAGTGGGTGGATGAAAATAGAGATACTGTCAGAAAGCAAAGTTGTAAACAAAAAAATATATACAATCAAATGTTAATAAATGTTCAAATGTTCTCTCACTACTACAATCCAAATTAGACAGCCATGTTTTCATTATAAGGCAGTCTTACAGTCAGTATTATTACTGATGTGCCGCATGAGCTCTCGGAGGGTGCAATGCACAGAGAACGCCTATTGACAGACAAATTGTCATCTTTTAATTTTTTTTGCGATTTATCTAGATATTATACATCTACTATTTACTGTGTGTTTTGATTTGGTTCCCCCATTGAGAGGAATAATAAAGAATTATTTTATTTGATCTTCTCCAAATCATACGTCTACTCCAGCAACCTAATTTACAAGCACATGCTCATAAGTATAGCATAGTTATTGTTACTATGTTATCTAAACTTTTTTTTGCGAGTTGTGCTGCAGTGGATCTTGACACTATGCGGTTAACATTACAAGACTATGAAGTAATTGATCATTCCGTAAGGTTTTCATTTACTATATATTAACATATACCTAATGAACAGGAGAAGTAAATAATACTATCGTGTTTTATGGACTGTACAGCCTCTACAAATCTTCAAACACATTCTTAACAAATGGAATTGGCCTGAGGAGCAACATTCTCGATGGAACAAAATTAAAATCCCCCCCTTCCGTTTCTTGCTGCCCTAGAGCATGTAGTCATGGCAGTAATTGTTTTTGGAGAGCGTATTGTGGGGACATTAGCTTTTTCTGGGCACTGCTCAGTAGCCTGAGGGGATGAGAAAAGGCCTAATGATCTACATATATAACCCCAAATTGACATGAAATGCAGGGTACCTGGGAGATATATGCCGCCAATTTGAATTGTTAAGCGTGTTCCTGATGAGGTCTGGCTGGCTCCATATGCCGCTCTCTGACAACGGGGCTCTCAATGGTCGGAATGGGCCTCCATAGCTCACATGGCCAGCTCTGTTCTATTCACATTAAGTGTAAGGGGGTCTTTTTAGCATAGAATCCCCTGTGGAATGTGCTCCTAAACTCTTCAGTATATACTGAATGTAAGGGTAATACAGTTCATTTGTGTGTTGATGTTGTTTTACCGTAAATTCCGGACTATAAGCCGCTACTTTTTCCCCACGCTTTGAACCCTGGGGCTTATACAACAAGCGGCTAACAAATCATTTTTTAAGGGATAACACGCAAGAGCGAGACAGACAGGTGCAAGTTACGGGCAACCAATCTGGAAACAGAACAAAGGAAACAGAGCGGTGTAGTGCGTATACTGGGACGGGGGGCACGGACGCTACGCTACGGCCGACAGGGAATTCGAATAGGAACCAACGCAGCTTTTGGCGTGAGAAATTGGATGTGTGGGGGGAGGGTGTGACTAAAGACCGAAATGAGTGACTTGAGAGGACAATGCGTCCATTGGTAAGCCAGGATGGCTATAGTTTTGGTCATCGTTACTCCTATTTTTTTTAAATGTATGAATCAAGTATAAATATCAATATTCATTCTCAATAAGCATAACAAATTTTAAGATGGGGAAAAGGAAATAGTTTAAGCCTTTAAATAAAACTTAAAATGAGGGGAAACTCAAGGTTATTAGCAATATTAAGACCTTTTCAGCTAATAACAAAATTGTTAGAAAACTAAGCAACTGCGGGAAAATACCCGTTTTGACCCTTTTTTCATTTGATCAAGTGTGATAACTCAAAAACTGTTGATTTAATATAAATGCTAAGGGGGCTCATCTCAGCACTACATTTGAGTACCATCAGAATAACATTGATAACTCAGGGAGAAGCTACACTTACCCCATCATCTTTAGTTTACCTTCAGTTGTGGATTAAGTTGATCGCTCCATAGTGACAAAACCTCAACTGATTGGTAAGGAAGGATCTTAAATGGGGGTAAGGGGTTTACTGTGTTGGAAATGGCCTCACACGGGGCACCATTTGTTGGGCATGACGTAGGGTCGATGTGTTGGTTAATAACTAGTGTGAAATTAAATCATTGACATCAATAGAATTATTAATAATCGCTAAGATAATTCACAAAATGAATAAATAACAGACCCCTAACAATGGACTAATAACAAACTATATAAACCAAGTCTCATAATTGATATTCACTCATTAAGAGCAAGGAATTGAAGGTTTAGGTTAGGTTGTGCTAGCATTTTTTTGCCAGGTTTATTTATTTATCAGAGACTTTATTGCCCCGTGTATCGACAATGCTGCTTTTCATCAAGGATACATTTGTCCCGTATTTTCCTCCACAACTTTGTGCACCGCTCGACCGGCAAACCGGCGTTTGTGGAGATCTCCCTCCATGAATCAGAGGCCACCCGGCGTCCTTATAGTCCACCAATGACGGCATGTAGAAGTGGTCATATTTACGGATTTTTTCCGACAAATGTTCTTCAATCTGATTCATTCTCTCATAAAAAAATCTTTGTTTTAATAATGGCGGTATTGTGCTATGAAACCGGAAATGTGAGACTCCATAAAGGATGTAGTTAGCAGACCAATCACAGCCTTGCGGGCTGCAGGAGGCTTGGGTAGCTTTTGACGCTACTCTTGAAAAATGGGACAGCGCACGCAAGGAGGTGTAAAAAGGCACGCAAGGGGCTCTTGCGTTTGCGTGTCCTTACGTCTCTCTGAAAACGCAGAAGCATAAACTAGGCTAGGGATTGAGAGAGAGAAACAAAAAAAAGCGGCTCCCAATCAGCCGGCTCTCAGAGCCGTTTCGTTCACAACCGACACATCACTAGAAAGCACATTCCTTGCGGGGGTGGTTAGTTATGTATTGCAGCAGAAATGCAATCGAAAGTCAGCCTTGGTTTTACGCTATGGTGGAAGCCACATTGTTTCAAATACAGTTGTGCATTGTTCTTGCATACAACAGCAAATCTTGCCACTCTGCAAATTCCGTCAATATTCTTTGTCCTCCTTTACTCTTTCTGTCAGGGATCCAAACCAGCCAGTCCCCCAAGACACCAAGTTCATCCACACCAAGCCCAATCGTTTTGAAGAAGTGGCATGGACACGCTACAACCAGAAGGACCAACTCTACTTACACATTGGCCTGAAACCCCGGGTCAAAGAGCACTACCGTGCCAACAAGGTATCGTTTCATTACTGTTGTAATAGCTATCTTGGAGTGGAATACACACCCCAGCCATCATCTTTTTTTAAATAGAACATGTGTGGGAAGATGTTGCATGTTTTTTCTAATTTTCTCTCCACTCCTTAGGTCAACTTGTGGTTGGAGCTGGTTCCTCACCTGCACAGCCTCAACGAGGTCACTCAGCTTATACCCACCACCACAAAGGTTAGCACTATAGTGTCTATATTTCATCCTGCTTCTTTCTTAAACTGCCATGCTTGAACGGAGTTTTAGAAAAGAAGGTTTTGGAGTAATAGATCCAAAGAAATATTTTTTAATGTTTACATTATTGTTATAACCCTTGTGAGAGTATCCTACACTGATACAGCAAGACAAATAAATGCTTTTGCCACACACAAAGATGTAGTTTCAGTAGGATGAGGAAATTTAGCTGGGTTCCTGAATTCTCTGATCTCTTAAAACAGCAAAATAGGTCTTAATAAAAATGTATTTTTAACCACTGTCAGGACGGTATCCGTGCGAGGGGAGAGGGAAGGTAGGACTCAGACGCAGAGTTCTTTCAGGAAACAAAAAGGGACTTTAATAGTCAAAACCTCCAAAAACGTAGAACTCCAAAAGGCAAAAACATGGTCAGAAAACTGTGACAAGGACGAGATCGAGATCGAGATCAAGAACATGAGCATGGCATGCACTTCGGACCACCAACATTTAGTAATGACGCCACAAGTGACAACAGACACACATGGCTTAAATACACAAGGGAGGTGCAGGTGATTGGAAACAGCTGGAAACAATCATGACACGACAGACAATCACAGGGGATGACAGGACAAGGCAGGAAGTGACGTGACCCAGGGAGAACAGAGGAAAGAAACTACGAAATAAACCCAGACATGAACCCAAACTGTGACAACCACTCTAGAACAAAGCAATTTATTAGGCCCCTGCTTGAAAATTGCATACCCACGATATAAAAAAAATATCTCGTCTTAACGTTCATTTCATTAATCTGGGTGTCATAATAAAGGGAACAAAGGGTCTTATTCAGATGTGCAAATATCGCTATATGGTGGTGTGCTGTAGTCTGACACCCGGGCAGCAGGCCATCTCGACTTTGTGGATCCCTGAAAAGACCTGACTGACCGTAATGTCAGCGGCCTCTTGGGTATATGGGGGTTTGGGTGCCGACTTGGAGAAGTGGTCAACCACCATAAGAATGACCTGTGACAAATTCCAGAGCAACATAGGACCAAGGAGGATGTGACACATGTAGGGGTTGCAGCATGCCGGTGAGAGGTTTTATTACGAACACAGGTTGAGCTGGCAAGGACAAATGCTCAAGTGTCCGCCTACAGTGACCTTCACCATAAGGTCCTTCATAGCAGGTCAATAGTCCGCCTGACGCCGGGATGACAAGAGAAGCGTGACATGTGTGCTCACTGTGTGACCTGGGGGCATGCAGTTAGAGGAACATAAAGGCGTTGGAGAGTCGGCCTCCAGAGTTCCACACCACCAACTTAACTTCCCAGGTGATAGAAGCCACCACACAGATGGTTGACCTCTTTGGGATCTATCCTCAACTGACCCTTTTCAATAATGAAACCCAGACTTTGAACTGACGTCACATGGAATTCTCTTCACACAAAGCTTGTTCTCCAATAGGTGCTGGAAAACCATCCGGACATGACACAGGTGTTCCTGAAGGTTGGCAAAGTAGATGAGGATGTCATCTAGGTAGACAAACATAAAGCAGTTCAGAAAGTCAAAGGATGTCATTGACCAATGAGAGTGTTGTGGTCCGCTCGCCAGTATCCCTACCCTTACCATCGAGCCCCTTTTTTTGGCAAATGAATGCCCAGGGATAGTCAGTGAAGAAAAACTCCCCTGAGCGCCATCTCCTCCCATCCTGAGTCAGCGAGTGTGGAAGTCCACGTAGTGTTGAGCCACACTTGATTAGCTCTGTCTCAGTCGGAGTTTTCGCTCGGCCGCATCGTTAACCCTTAGCCCTTAACAAACTAAGCATAGGGTATTGTATTAGGCTGGTCAATGTTCAATGTGGGGGTGGAGTACTCCAGAACTCCTCCCTGCAACAATCCAACCACATAGAAGACCTGGAATCTGTCCAAAGCAAAGTGTGAGTCTGATGGCACCGGAAAATGAAACCCCAGAACCTTCCAAGCGTTCTGTCAGTGGTGTGAAGCCGTCACCTCCTGGATGGTGGATGCATGTTTTGAAATTGTTTGGATTTTAGGTAATTTACTCAGATGGCTAAAGCGATAGTTTTGTGAAGAAAAGTTATATGCAAAAATTTTGATAAAAAGAAGTTTGCTTCAAAGAAAATATATAACATGTACCAAATCCAAAAGGTCCATACACAAAGAGCAAAAAGGACCAACAGAAAAATTTAGTTAAAATTACGTTCTGACTTTGGACAGAGTGAGGCTAACTGTGTAGGCACAAAAATAAACGGAGGGTACAAGAGGGCCAAAAACAAAGTCTGATGCATGCAGTAAGGCCTTCATAGAGAGCTGTAGCCAGTGTTAATATTTTTGCTGTCTCTGTTACTCTGAGATCTATAGTTGTATTATTTATTCATTATTATAGCTTTAGAGTTGTATTATTATATATTATGTGAAAAAACAGAACTTTTTGTTGGTTCAGAGGGCAAGCATTGGTCTTCATTTAGGTTTAAAGACCAATGATTTTTAGCATGCATTTCTGAACCTAAGTAGAGAGAAAACAGGTGCTTCAAAAATTCAAATTGTGTTAGTGGAAAGAACATGGAACTCTCTCGAACACTATATGGTAAATGGACTGTACTTGTACGGCGCTTTTCTAGTCTTCCGACCACTCAAAGCGCTTTAACACTACATGACATCATTCACCCATTCATACACTGATGACAGGAGAACCATACACAGTGACACCTGCCCATCAGTAACTAACATCCACACAAAGTAGTCACAGCTACAGGAGCAATGATGGGTTAAGTGTCTTGCCCAAGGACATCGACATGCGGGTTAGCCGGGCCTGGGATCAAACAGACAACCCTCTGATTGGAGGACAACCGTGCTCCCCACTCATCCACAGTCGATCAGATATCTCTGGTCATAGTTGAAGCTTTTCAAACTGATAATATTCTGAATGTTTACCTTCCCTTCTTCAGATCCCTCCACCTGAAGCCACCAACCGCACCCCGAAGACCAAGGTTCTGGTCACCAAACGCCCCAACCCGACTCCGTTTCCCACAGAGACCCAGGACAGCCACATCCAGCCACATCTGGTGGACCAGCGTGACTACTCCACTGAGCTGTCGGTGACCATCGCTGTTGGAGCTTCCCTGCTCTTCCTCAACATTTTGGCCTTTGCCGCCCTTTACTATAAGAAGGACAAGCGACGGCATGACGTCCACAGGCGCTGCAGTCCCCAGCGGAGTGCCGCCAATGATCTGGCTCACACTCAGGAAGAGGAGATCATGTCCCTGCAGATGAAGCAGCACTCAGGCCTGGACTGCAGGGGAGTGGGCGAGACTCTGCATCCGCATGATGTGGTGCTGAGGACTGCCTGTCCACCTGACTACACTCTGGCCATGAGGCGCTCACCGGACGACATCCCACTTATGACGCCAAACACCATAACCATGATCCCCAGCACCATGGGGGGGCTCACCTCGATCCACTCTTTCAACACCTTCCCCAGCAGCGGGCAAAGTAACAGCCTAACCCATCCACACCCACATTCCACTACCCGGGTATAGCCATGTGGATACAAGCAGGCAGGACTCAGGTGGCTGAGGCAAAAGCTAACGCCACTGCAGCAGCATAAACTTAAGGCCAACATGCTGACAACGACAGATATGTTAGGAACTGAAACGCCAGCCTGGAGTTGCCAGACACCCATGGAATTACACTGGGATTGTACACCCTGTTAATACCTGGGGGAATATAGTTAAGGGATTTCTGGGGTTTGGACCAGAGGAAAAAAAGAATAACCATTATGCTTTTGTAGAAAAATAAACACACAAACAAAAAAAGTACAAACTAGGAGAAAAACAACCTCACTAGCTAAAACCAAGAAGGATGTTGTTTATTATTATTTTGTTTCTAATATTGCAGCGAAACAAGGTGCGGTAAACTACTTTTTCTTTCTAGCGACAGAAACGGCCTTCGAGGCTTTTGACAAATGACTGCCTGACAGTGCTATCTGGAAGCAGAACAGAGCATCAGACCCGCCTCGAAGTTAAGAAGAGTGGAGCACTTTGTAAAAGAAAGAAAACATATTGTTTTCTTTTGGCATTGTGCAGCAGATTACTCTGTTTGTGTGACACAGAGTAGATAAGGTGCAAACCAATTTAGGTATGTGATGAATTCCTAAATGGAGACTATGTAAGATACAACAGAAGCAATTGTTGAATAGAACAAAAGAAAAACTGAAAACTTCAATGAAAAAAAGGAAACCCGTGTGCACAATGGATTAAGAGGAAAGAAATGATACGTTTCACAGATACGTTTCATCCATTTATTTTTGAGGATCGGGAACAATGTTATTGTATAGAACCTATTTACATATGTAGATTGGTATACTAAGCACCAGGCTGTTAATACCCCTTGTCTAAGGGTGTGAGTAAGGGGCATCTATACTGCAAACCTGCCTGCAAAACTGAACTAGTGGGAATCGGCTGATCCACCTTCTGGCTCTTGCAGTTTCAACTTCAACACAAAGTGCTGGGCAACAAAGGATAATGGATATTTTAGCACGATGCGCATGACAATTTAACTGCTTGATGGCTGCCCTGCTGATTGCGTCATTATTAAGAATCATTTTCCCCCTCTACTTTGCATTGGAGCAATTTCAAATCAATTTCCTGATTGGATTACGAAAACACACCTTTGCAGGACCACAGGAAATACAGTTCCAGGTTGCGGATGTTGTGGGCTGGAGCTGGGAACCAAAATGGGAGGGACTGGGGATATGGTCAAACTTTCTTGCATAACATGATATAGCTTGAGTGGAGCTGGGAATTTAAGGACTAGTTTTGTACTCTCTGTGTTGGTACCCGTTTTTGATAATGGTAAATCACATCACACTGCATTAATCAAACGTATCATACCTTCGGTTGAGATCAAAGTTACCTGCTATTCTACCTATTTTACCACTCTGCCATGTAGAAATGATTACCTGCACTGTTAATTCCATTGCACTCTTTCCTTTTTCTTTATCTGGAAGCAGTATTAATTGAGGGACACACTGGATGCTTATTGTGATGAAAGAAACGGTAATAGAAAAAATGCCTTTTAACTTTTATTTTGCTTTATCCAGCCAGGTTCTGTAGAGCAATTTAAACATGAACGCCTTTAACATAACTTCTACAAGTCAAAGGCCAAGCACAGACCGATCATGTTGGGTGGAATTCTCTGGATAAGCACAGCAGGTGGAGAAATGGATGAGCCAGGGTTCGGGTAGGCCAATAGCCAAGATTTATCATTTTTTTTACATTGTCTTATAGGAAGAAAGATACGTTTTCTTTAGCAGCTGAGAAACTCAGTTGTCCCTCTTTACCTCACTCCAAATAGCTACTACTTTTCTTCTTTTGGTCACAATCTCTTTCTATTTAAAATTCTCTACCTTCTCATATTTCCACTGAGCGGACAGGGATGGCTGCTTAGCTTTAGTCTGCCACAGCCAGCATCTTAAGGTCAGTGAGGCTTCAGTGCCTAGCAATGTTTGCTTCTGACGTAGTAGTGTGTCATACAGCAAAGCAGACTGCAGTCGTTGTCATTAGTCATTAGAGTCGTTGCAGTAAATTGGGGACCGTCAAAATAGAGAGATAGTGAGGAATGCCCTAGATGGCAGGGCTATTGTGTGGAGACAAATACAGAAGTCTAATTGCTGGCGCATCAATGCTACTTGTTAAGCTTAAACGCTCCTTTCCTTTCACTAAAGTGTAGATGTTTGGAGGCCTCTGTTGTGAGAATAAATCTTTCCCCTTTTTGCTCCCTTACAGGCACTGTGCAGTCATTCAAAATAATGAGCACAGACTACTGTTACCCAATATAACACTGCGGCAGACAAGCTGATTGGGGGAATAAAATCTAGTCTTTCATGAGTGTTGCTTTTTGGGATAAGCTTTAGGTTGAGTAAACTAATACAGATGGATTCAATGAACCACCGAGGCTTGATCTGGGATTTCAACAAAAGGAGGATTCCATTATCACACGTCACCCTCATGGGCCATTTTTAATATCCTTCTCTGTAAAAGGAAGCCAACAACACCAAGAATGTGTGAATTCCAGAATATCGGGACCACCCATACTGTAGGTCTGTTGACATTGTATCAACAGGCCATTAGCTTTTCCAGCATTTTTGATCGCCCACACACATACATGTGCAAAATAATATTTGTGCAGACACCTGAAATATTTCAACCATTGTTCTCCCTAGAAATAACTTGGGGCTGAGCACTTATTAAATTAAACATGTTATTGCCATGATGAGTTAACAATCCAGCGATTGCAGGGCCTTACTGGGTAGTTAATAGTTAAGGATGACTACTAATGAAAAACTTGCCCTGGCATCTGTCGTCTGACTGGTGATGGAGGATACATGCAAGCCAACTGCATGAGGAAAGCAAGAGAAGTGCTGGCATATGCAACGTTTTTGTTGACCTAATGTATTGCAACAAGATTTTATGTGTAGTGAAAACATGTTAACGGTCCTTGTGATTAATTACTTGAGAGTGTAAAACTAGACAAGATGACTCAAAAGTTCTTCGAGAGGATGTGCCGCAATGACTTCAAGGGGTCATAGAAAATGCATTAAACCGCTGTATCATGCCTAACAACTGACAGAAAAGATACATGGTAATCGAAGCAAAAAACATAATCAATGAAGCAAAAGCATTGGATGACCTTTACACCCATGAAGAGAAACTGAGGATTTACAGATAGATATAGCTTTCTCATAAAAACTTTGATAAACTGGCAAGGAAAAAGCAGGTGAGCTGGATTAGATCTCGAGCTAGCTGTATAAATTGAGACAGACTGAATCCCTAGCTTGCTGAAGAACGACTGCGAGGCACCACTAACTACCCCCTGCCTCTCCACACCTTTAATGATAGTGAAGCCCATGTAGTGATAATAGTGGGAGATTGCAAAACAGTCTAACTAGCAGACTAGTTGATTACTCCATGAAATAAAATGGAATTTATTCATGTAGCACCTTTTGCAGACAGCAGTCACAAAGTGCTTAACAGGAGTTCAAATAAACAAGACGACATATGGCAATACAAGGGGCCGTTACATTACAAGATGCCTTTGACCCAAGAAACGTGGAATCATAGCACATTTAAGTAACATACATCAACCCTGTTGCTGGAATTCTTTTTCACGTCTTGAAAATTTGGGATGTTTTGGATGTTATGGATTATCATCCAAAAACACATTTCATGAATACACTTTCATGGTCAGCCTTGCACAAACACACAATGCCATCTTTAAGGGCAGGGGAGGTTTCCTCAGCAAAAGTAGTTGGATAAAGTTAAACATAACAATTGTGACAAAGTAAACAGCATGAATGAATAATGGCAGACTTTGTTATGTAGCGTTGCTCAACAATATTACTTAGCAATCAAAAAACAGTGGTCTCTCGGGTGAAAGTCCTTTCGCTCTTTATTTCATCTTTCCACTACCCGTTCCAACCCAGACTTTCATGATTATCGTATTCGATATATTGTACCAGGTCAAAGCTCAACAGTCACTATGTACTACGTGCCGTTCTATGACCAAATACCAAACACACACATCTATTGTATCCTCGGTTACACAGACAAGGCAGCTGGCGTAGCGATTCCAATGTTCCCACTTCAGAATTTGCTCTTTAGCAGCAATATTGAAGCACATGTGCTTTGCATAACACATTAATTTGAATTGTGTTAACAAGCCAGAGCAACATACAGTAATTTAAAAGACGAGGTTAATAACCCAATCTGGGCCTGGGGACAAACATGTTCACCATCAGCCCTCAAAGGTTTGTGTTATCAAGTTCCAGGCTCCATATTTCCATGTTAGCTAGGCTGTAGTAAAGTAACTATGTATTTTGTAGATAACACTGAATAAACCTAAAAAACTAAACGTCACAGGGCACCTTCAACATCCAAGTTATATCCAGCTAACATACATATCCTACCTCATAAGATGTTTAATTCTATTTGGTCACCCTAGTGACTGCAGTGATGGCTTCATATGCTTCATGCTGCTAGCTAGCTATTTCAAGTGTATCCGAGGTTTGCAAAAAAACGAAGTGCTTTGGCAAAAATCGTATCTATAGTGAGTGAAGAAGGGGCGGGGGGATGAGATGGGGGGGCGGGCCAAGGCCATGTAGGAGAGACTCCCATTACATTGTGACGACAGAATGAGTCAGTCACTCAAGGATGACGTTTCTGACTTACAAGAACCATAACAAGTTGAGACAACAAAGAGTTGTTTTGGGGTCGGTATACATGCCAGATACCCAAATAAACGTGTAGAAGCACTAAAAAAGTGGAATTTTCATAATATGTCCACTGTAAAATATAAGTCTTTCAAGCAATGGCATTGAGGTTATTTAAAGAGGTTGCAATTAACAGTCATTTTAACACACATTTGTATTCATAGACCGGCACTCATACAACAGAAAAAAACTGATATGCCCTACATTATTGCCGGTGGGAAACAATGGATCACAAAAAAACACATTTAAAAAAAAAACATTTCCGGGGAGTAAATCTGGAACGTTAAATTATGAAATGCAAAAGATGGCAATGGCTTTAGGATGTCATAAGCAAGCGTTTCCCAAGGGCCTTTATTCTTATTGAAAGAAAATTAGTTGGATTAACATTTAACCCGGCTTGCCAAGATGTTTCTAGGCAGGTCACAGGAAACTTTAAAGGCTGAATGTTCCTGTGTGAGCGCAACTCAGAATATTAACAGTAAAACATGGATAAACAGATAATAAAATAAAATATGAAAAGGAGCTATACGGTTTATATGCTGTGGCGATGATTTTAACAGGGGATTTTTCCAACAAGTCTTGTTGGAATTTGCTAGACCATAAAAACATGCACACATCTTTTTTAACACCTTTTTCAAATTTTCTCTGATTAATGACTAGATTCATGTTTGTTAGACCACAAAAATTCTAATGTTTCCTTAATGCTCGGTGCTCAGACACAGAACGGGTTCAGCATGCATTAGGAGTGTGTTTAATTGTGTGTTTTGTGTAACACACAACTTTCAAATAAGTGTTAGATCTTATGAGTGCATTTACATGGAAATCCCTGCACCGATATTGTTCATTCTTCAGTTCTAACATACTTCACTGTCAATAGCAGTGTTTATTTCTTCAATGTGCCTAATTGCTGTTATCTTAATATTTTGAATATGTTATGAGTCATAGGACATCTTTCGTGACAATTTGAATTTTTTGACTGTGTGCTTGTAAGCGCGCTCATCCTGAAACAACAGCAGATGACAGTGTGAGGAAGCCCCAGAGCTCAGATGGATATCCATCCAGTGTCACCTTCCTTTAATATGGTGTATCCATCAGTCAAAGAGGTGAACCCCGAACCAATCCAGGTAGCATTTCTTCAGTGATTTCTGTTGATCCCAGCACCCGTATGTTTTAATGAGCCAGTCTAGCAGGGTAAGTGAGAACTGAAGACACTTAATAAACCCTGTTCTAGGGGGACGCTTCACTTTTGTTCCAGTGTAAATCTGCCCTGAGGATGGTGGACAGTCAGCCTGTGGCGGGGTGTACAGGACGAACAGGCAGGGGAGAAACAAGCACTGCGAATGAATGTAATGCAACTTGCCATTTTGTAACCTCAAAACGCAGCAGAAACGGCAACAACCAAATCTCAGATTCATCCTAGAGAAGTCTTTGCTAGCTGTCTGACAACTGAAGGAGGATTTGTCTTTTGAATGCCATTTGGAAACAGGGGGCACCACGAGAACTGGTCTGGCATTTGTAATGTAGATTATTTGTCACCTGTCTTTCTTTCTGGTTAAATAGTAATTACTCTTCTGGAGCACAATAAATAAATGATTTTAATATGCGGATATTGTTCTTTTTCCCCTTTCTCTTGAGTCTTCATTTCAATTCTGTGCCTGTTCTTGCTCATTTGACTAATTTACTTTTACTTTCAATTTACTTTTTGCTTGACTAATTATTTTCTACAACTGACAGAAAAATAAGCCATGTTGCTTATTACGGCAAAAGACACCAGCTGACACTTATAAGTAAGTATAAGTATTCCTAGCCACCATAATCTAGCACGGAAACATAAAAAAACAAAAATTAGCTAAACAGTGGTCACATGTATTGAGCTTCACTTTAATTAATCAATTAATTGACCATGTCCTAGAATTCAAGCATTTATTTGAATATTTAATATTTTTTCCAGTATCTTTCTCTTAATCAATTTTGTCAATAATAATAAAAAGTTTTTGTTAAAGAGTAATGGCAAATGTAAAAGACAAAATGTTTTAAAGCTTTACATTGTCCTTAAAAGGAATCCAATGGAAAACAGCTATAAAGAAATGCAGATGCCAAAATATGATGCATTAAAGTGGTGGAATAAACACAACTAAGGCATTAACATTATATAATTCACTAACCTCACAGACCTCTCATTCTCGTTATTTCTATATTTTTCCATAAATGCAAATTTTGTAGACTGCTGGAAACAATCAATCAGAATGATCAAGATAAAAGACGTCAATTTACTGTGTCAGACAAATGGTCACTGAAGCTGCCGGCTTGATGTGATCCATGCAGCTGGTGAGGTTGTTGCGAGTTGAAATAAAGACAGAATCTCTCAAAGCAGTTTCCTCAATGGGCCAACATACAGTTAAGTGTTTCTAACAACAAATCAGTTTTTACACACTCAATATGGGAAATGGAAACAAAACTGCTTTCAATGTGCAAGATATGTGATCATCAGTATTGTGAATTCCTCTTCATTCTAACTCGTTACTCTACCTATGATAACCTTATAGAATATTATGCCCATGTTGACCTTATTGTCGATGTTATATTTTGTTTGTACATGTTCCCTCCTGTAGCTCCAATGAGGATTTCATTCAACCGTGCATAATGCTTCCGTGATTTCCAGCATTTGATGATTTTAGTTGGTATTTTAATAGAAATTCATGATAAGAGCTTCAAAAATCCAGAGCAGTGTGCTTTGTCATGCCCCGCCTACAGACTCCAGGGGCTGTTTCTGTTCCTGTGGGGCTGCAATGCCGCATTATGTTTCCTCTGATCTTAACTTCCACACTGATGCAAGCACCATTAAACACAAAGATAAAACATACAAAATTAAGAAAAGTTAGTTAGTTAGCTAGATTGAGTGCTAATTGGAAATTAATCGGACTTCAGAGTTGGAAAATGGTGACATTTTACCGCTAATGATTAGAAACAAATTATGCCTGAGACTGACATTTGAGGAGCAGGCGGCTGTTTGTAGTGTAAAGGATCAAGAGAGATGTGTTGATGCTTTGAGTGTGTGCACGTATGTGTGTGTATTACCTTTATTAGCCTGACTATGGGCCCATACTGCTGTTGGCTGCTCAACCAGAGGGGCCTGTAGGAATACCTTGATTGCAAAAGGCTTATTTACCGTAATAATGCATCTCATCTCTGCACATCAAACACTTGTGCCTGGTCTAATAACCCGTTCTTTAAATTAGCACAACTGTTTGATCTAGCTGTGCTGCCGCTGTCCCAGGGCCATTGTCGCAAGTAGTACAACAGTTGGATAATTGCTGTTTACTTCACACTTGAGAGGTTATGTTGGGTGCACCTATAGCGCCTTTTTGTATTTTTAAGAGAGCATTGCCTATAGAAATAGAATAGAAGCAGAAGGATATAAAAAAAAGGTTTAGCAAACAATAAAACACCAATTAAATATGGCACAACTGCACTCTAGAACCCATCATTTCCAATGGTTTTCCCGCCACTGTAGTGACTTACTGCCTCAAAAGCATGGGCCCATTGGAACTTTGTGTAATAGCTGGCTCGTTAGCACGGTAGCTTGACTAGCTTGACTGATTAACAGTGAAATGGTGTCCAGCACTGCTGCTGGAGCCGCCCACTAGTTTGAGTCATTCTTTTAACTAGAAAGTTGGGCCTTATGAGTTAAGCTCTCTCACAAAACAATAACATCGAGCTCAGTGTTTCCCCTAGGTTTACAACTTTGGGGGAGCGGATAGGAAGATCTACACGGGGGCTTTCCGTCCGCGGGTGAAAGCGAGCTAACTTGTGTGTGCGTGCACGTTTCTGTATGTGAGTGCACCTGTCTGCTTGTGCCAATTGGGACGCAAGTGCCATGCGCAGCAAGGAGTGGGAAATTGTAAGCATAAAGAAACCTGCCAGACTTTGTTGGGGGGCGGGGCGGACTTCTGATGGTCAATGACATGCGGTGATGTCGATAAGAGCTAGCTACGCACTGAGTTATGAAAACCAGATTACCTCATTTGTTATTTAGGCTAACATGTCAAACCCGTAAACATTACGCACAAGCGGTTTGTAATCAATGAATGAATACCATGGCGACTGGATCTGCCCCCTTACTGTCAAAAAGAAAAAAAAACAGCGAGCAACGAAGTTCAAGTTTCATGAGAAGGACTCTTACTCGATCAAGACAGACATTTGCTTGCGGATGTTTGATTTCCGCGCTCGGATTTGGACATTGAATTGCCTTTATAACAATTAGTACAGTCTGACAGTACTGAAGGTTAGGGTACCTCTTACAGAGGACATTTTCCGAACCTCCCTTGAACACCATTTCTAACCCTCTTTTCCCCCCAGCTCTCTTAACTAACCCCCCACAAAAGTCCCCTTCCTCTCCCTCTATTCCTGTCCCCCCTACTGCAGGATTTTCTAGTTGAATATACCGTGTGTATGGTATTGAATTTATCACCATTAAAACAGGGACAACATCCTTAATAGGACAGTTCTCTAAGGTAGTCACTTCATTTTATTTTAGACCAATGTTCACAAAATATGCTTGATAACGTTGGCGTTAAGGACCTATGGACTAACATGTGGAAAAAGCATGTCTTGAGCTGCTGCTTCAAAACAAATCATGTGGGGTATACCCAATAAGGGTCAGCAGATCCGAAAGCACATAGCCTCGGATCTCTCCTCGGATCTCTCTGATCTCCTCAGCACTTTGGTTTGACTGGAGGGGACAGGCTGAAGATCTGCCTCTGGACGTATCACAACTGAATAGAATAATAAATAAATAAACGTAGCGCGACAAATGTATCCAACGTGACAGTCATGCTGCATTCACACCAAAAGCAAAGCGAATTATTATATTGCGAGTAGATTCAATGCACAGACGCGTCTGTCGCGAATGAGGCGAATTTTAAATGGGTGGCGAGAAAGATGCAAAAAGACGCGACGCGTGGGACGCGAAAAAGCAAAACGAATAATTTGCCTGACGCTGTCTTGCGAAAGCCAATCAGCGTTGAGATGCTAGAGAGAAACTCTAGACTCCACGGGTCAACTCTGTAAATGGGAGGGGCCTGCAGTCTACCTTCAGTACTTTGTGATGCAGGACAGGAAGAAAAATTAATACACCAACCGTTTTCAACCTCATGCATTGCACATTTAGAGAAGTTCCTATACATTTATGTATCCTGGAATTGTTTGCCACTTTGATTGAATCCGTCCTTCTGCCAATGCCAAGGGAAAATACATTTGCAGTTAACTACATTCACGCAAATTCATTTTTGGTATATATTTAAGAAAGATTTAAACAATGAAATGATTAACTGAAATTTCCCAGATAGTTATGAAATATCCATATTTTGCTTTGCTTTGAGCCAGCTGAGTCACACTTCCTCCCCTAACTAGCAGTTTTAATCACTCTTCTGTTCTCTTCCCAACGACACACTCACACACACACAGCAAAAGCTTTGTTCATAGTCTGTGTTCAATTTAATTGGGAATTGCTGAGTTTCTGCATCGTTTGAGTTGATCCACTTGACGCTACCCTCAGGTAAGGCAATTATAATCATTGTGCTGCGTGTCTCTGGTTTGAGGCCCGGCATCTTCTCAAAGAGCTTCTTCTTCAGAACAACACACATCGAACTTGATGGGAGCTCTGTTTACAAGTTTAATGATCAAACACTTAATACAAATAAAATCTGTTCAGCATGTTTTTATTCTGATAATTGGGTTCTTACTCAGCCAACATCATTGGTCCTATTTTTAGTCTACACAATATCAGGTAAAACATAAAATGTGTTCTTTCAGATGTGAACATCTGATGCCACATTTGTTGAAGGTAAATTGCTTATTGGTTTACAAGGACCTACTAGTATGTCAAAATGTGTTCTAACATGGTGTCTAAACGCCAACCAACGTCTCTGGTTTCCCTCCCTCCCACCCCTTGTCCGCTCTTGAGGGGGGGGGGGGGTACTGTCACGATGTGGTTTGGCACCAAAAGATTAAACACACCGATGCCTTAACATCTTGATTATCAGATGACCCAGAACACCATGTACTACCTCTCTGCTGTCGTCATATTGACGATGGTGAAACATTGTTGCAGTTTTTCCAACATTTACCTACTGTTTATATTAAGCATAACTACTAATTAAAAAGTAAAAAATAAAATAATGTTCACCCAAACTAATCGAATTACTTAACTTGTCTGAGTTAGAAATGACTTCATGTTAACACATATGATTGGAGAATTTCTCTCGCATTTGGTTTTATGTCTACAAGCGATCATCACGCCGTGATTGAACAAAACAAATGAAATAAGAGAGGATCTGATGCTTCTCCCAGCCTGTCCCTGTGAATATCTTTGAGCTTAATGAGATCTGGCAGACGGCCTGCTCTCGCTGTCTCTCTGGAAGTGAAGAAAGTTGGAACTGTCTAGAGTGAAGCTAATTTAATAAATCTGACAGCCAGGCGCTGTGCACCAACTGTTTGAAGCTGTGTGGCATGTATAGACAGTCTGAATCCTTCAGCACCTGGAATAATGTAGGAAGGCAGCAATTTCTATTCCATTGTTTCATTTTATGAAAAAATCTCAGATCTC